ATACATCCAAAAGGCATTTTATAAGGACATTAATTAGGGCTAAGAGTTGGTATATTGTTATATATTACTCAAACATTAGGTCTCAAGTAGTAATTAAGGCCATTTCTTATGAAGTGAAGTTTTGTTACCTTAAGGAGTTGAATCACCCAAAATTTAAAGTTTAGTTCAATCGGTTCATAAGGTGATATTCAATAAGTTTGAAATTTAAATCTCAACACTTGTAACCATTTTTCTCATTTAAAGTTGTGAACTCTTTTATAAAAAAAAAAAAAAAAAAACTACTAGTTTTTGCTTGGAAGTCATTTAGATGTAAAGTGTTTTAGATACTACTTGAGAATGAGAAGAGAGGGCTACCTGCTAATGTTGGAAAATTTTGCAAAGGTGGTGTTTAAACAAAGCTTCATATCATTTATTTTGAGAAATGCTTCACCTATCTAGCCTGATTGCAATAAATTAATTAAATTTGACTCATAATTTTTATGGATTTATCATTTACGATCCTTTGCTAGTAACAATTCCATGGAAGTTGGGAAGGAAGCTGCATAATTTCTTCTAATTGGTTTTATTTGTCTGCTTAGATAGATGGTGAGATTGATTAAGATTGAAAATAACGGTGATGATTAAATTAATTATTATAATAAGAATATTAAAATCAATAGTATAATATGTGTTTGAACATATAAACATTGGTGGTGATGCGATGAGTTATAATCAAAAAACAAAATGATCGTAAAAAATATAAGATTAAAAATGTATATAATAAAAATTTTAAATTATTTAATATTTATAAAACTAATAAATAATAAAAAATTAAATTATTTGAATGTTAAATAATAATTTTATTATAAATAATTAAAAATAATAATATATCAAATAATATTTTTTATTACATTAAATTAATAAAATTATTTTATATTTATAAATAAAAAATTATTTTTCGCATTTACAATATAAATTAAACGGTAAACAAAAAAAAAAGCCAGCCACTGAAAAAAAATGTCACTATAACCAACCGGCGCAATTTGTGTCTTTCAGTTGCATGCAAATGGATGCACGGTTTGGTTTGGCAGAAAATTTCACAGCACCTGCATCTGAAGGGGTACTGCAATTTAAATACTGCCTTAGTTAGTCAGCTGAAGTTTACGCGCTGCTGAAGCATTTGATTAAAATAATTCCATGTTGTGGGATACTATTATTGTCACTTGGGGACATTTTCCTCTTATTGATTTCCAGTCCATCCCCTCCACTGGGAAATCTTCATATTGCCACACCAATATAGGCTACGTAAGCTCTCACAATTTCCCTCTTTGCCTGCTTTTCTTTGTCTTTCTCTTTTTAGGCGTTGCTTGCAGGTTTGTTTAGTGCATGCATTTGGTACAGGGTACAGAACCATAGTCTAACTTCTGAGGTAAGTAGGCATCATAGAAAGGAAAACAGAAAGATTTTTGCTTTCCCTTTTTACTTGCAGGTTGCTTTGATATTGCTTTCGGTTCAGAAAATCTAACGTAAGGCTTGTAATTGATTGTTATTAGGATTTGGCAGAAGGTGAACTTGATCAATCAATCTTACTTTCAATGCCCAATTCACCAGGCCAAAATGGCAGACGAAGCATCATGGTTATCAAGGCAAGTCCTTTTTAATTAATCTGGGAGAGGGTTTTCTTTTACTAGGTATTTGAATTTTGATGACGTTCTTTCCTGCCAGCAAATTAAAATTACACAACAGAAAGCACAGCATGTAATCCCTGCTGAAATGGTAGCTGAAGCAATCTTAGCATTACAAGGCCTTGACTTGAGATGGTCTGGTCCCATAACACCTAGTGAAAGGCAATTGTTGAACAGTATGTCTTTGCAGAATATCCACAATATGGAGTTGCGGAAGATGGAGAAAAGATGACCGATGATAAAGCGAAAATCCCCAAGGATTGTCGGCGGCAGAAAGTATTTTTCTTCTTCCTCCACGAGTGGATTCTCTAATCTTGACAACACCCAATTGAAGCCTTCAAGGCTTTCAGATATCTTCACTAGGAAAACTTCATTTCAGGGTAAACATTGTTGGCTAAGCGAAGATGGGTATTTTACCGTTTTCATGCCCAACTCAAGGATGCTATGCTATGATGCTGATAGGAGAAAGCTACCCTTTCTTTAGAGAGAAATGCTATTTGACAATTATAACTGAAGAATCTGACTACATAAGGTAATTAGCCAGCCAAAAGAGAACCAAAGGTGATTTCAGCACCAGAAACTTGGTTGGATTTGAGGATTAAAGGGTCCCAGATTAGCCAAAACTTCAGAAGAAAATGTTTACACAGCCCCGAAGGGCTTTTCTCCTATCCAGCTGATGTAAATGGGACTAGATATTCCATGCATTGGATCTCGGAGGCACACAGATACTCATAGCACGTCCTCCTCGATGCAACGGGGTTGGTCTTCAGTGAGGAGCCGCTGGCACTCTTCACCCACCGCCTTGATTTAGTGCTATGTACACTTGATAACACCTATGTTCACCATCCAAGACTAACTGCCTCGTAAGGAAAGATCATCTGATACTACCTCATATTCAGCCTAGAATCTCGATTCACATTTTCTTCAAGGATTATTTTAATTCATGCATATCCAAACTATTAATTTTGCAGAATTGTTGAGTGCCCAGCCTTCCCACATCACCCAAGTTTTTTTTTTTTTTTCTCTTTTTCGATTCTCTTTATTTATTGTTTACTTTTTTATTTAGTTAGTGATTGATGCATCACATCAATCTCTTTTTTTTGTATTTTATGATTAAAATTTTTAATTGAATTTTGCATATATAAGAAACAAGTTAACAAAAAAATGATGTAAAGATTGTGTGAAAAGTTAAAGAAATTGATGGAGAAAAATGGATGTAATTGGTAGATAAACTGGATGAAGAATAAAAATCGACAATAGAAGATGGAAGAAAGAAGGAAAGATGCTGAGATTTTGGTGCACAAAAATTACTTTTTTAACAATAAGGGGTGAGTGGTTCATGAAATTTTGAATTTCAAAAGAAAGTGTGATCTTTAAAAAATTGTAATATCCAAAATTTTTTTTTTATTTTTAGGATATTTTATATTTAAATTAATAATTTGGTTGGGAGATCACGTTATTAATTTCTATATAATTAATCATAATTCTTTGATATATATAATAGAACTTTTTATTTTGTTTTTTAAATAAATACTTAAATGACAAATTGTACCTTTTACATAAAAAAAGATCAAATAATTTATTATATTGTTTTTATTATAAACAGTCTAATAAGATGTTTGACACTTTTTTTAGTAACAGAAATTGATAAAAAAAATTGTTAGAAAAAATACCAATTAATGCGTTTGTCACCTTTTTTATATCATGAAAAAAATTAAAAATATTATTTTAATTTATTTATTAAAGTATTTTTTAAGGGGTTTCTATATAAAAAAAAAGTTAAATGATCCTTTTATAAAAAAAAATAAAAAGATCATTTGATAATTATCTTTTAATTTATAAAAGGATTATTTAAGATGTTTCTTTACATAAAATGCTTCAAATAATCTTTTTATAAAAAAAATCATTTAAGGCATTATCTGTAGAGAAATGCTACAGAAAATGCCTTAACACTTTATATAAATCTAAACCTAACTTCTAGACCTAAAAAATAAAAAGATTATTTAAAGCATTTTTTGATAAATACCTTAAATGATCTTTTTAATTTTTTTTTATCGTTTTAAAATTTATTTTTTAAGTTATGAAAAGATTATTTAAGGCATTTCATATAGAATACACATTAAATATACAAAAACGCCTTAAATAATCTTTTTATTTATAATAGAAGAAGTATTTAAGACATTCTTGTATAAAAAACACTTTAAATAATTCTTTTATATCAAAATAAAATGATCATTTAAGGCATTTTCTGTAGAGAAATGCCTTGAATGATCAAAATAAAAAAAATCATTCAAGGTGTTTCTCTACAGAAAAAGCCTTAAATGATCTTTTTATTTTTTTATATTATAGATTGTTTTAAGCATCAAACGTCATAAGTGATAATCATTTAAGGTATTTCTGTACACAAACGCTTCAAATGATCATCAATTATGGTGTTTTTTTAACCCAAACACCTTAAATAATTCTTGTCATCATTTAATTGAGACTAAGGATTATTTAAAGCATTTTTTAATACCAAACGCCTTAATTACAATATAAAAGAATATTTTTTCTATACAAAAACTTACAACCGAATTATAATCACTTTCGAATATACTTTTTAAAAAGGTAACGGCTATTTCATTAATTTTTATCCAAGTCAAATTTAAAAATAAGATAACTTTCTTCCCCAAATTCTAGAATACCATAGGAAGAAGTAGATTTTTAATTTCAAGACTTCGAGTATTGTTAGGAATCTAACATTTTTTTCCGTAATTAGATTATCTTGAATCAAACATGGGAATCAAATATTCACCATCAAGATTTCGAAAAAAATTTGTGAATTCCTTCGAACCAAACGTATCTAAAAGAATATCTTAGGTTTATTTAATTTGGTGATGAGATTAGTGTCAGTGAAATTGAAAATAATTATGACAATAAGATTGATTATTATAATTGTTAGTTTAAAATTAATTATAAAATATATGTTTATATGCAAACACAATGTTGGCAATAGGATGAGATAAAAATGTCAATTAAGGATTTTACTCTAAAAAAGTGTTTGTAAATTATTTATATATTTTTTAATATTATTTATGATATTTATAATTTTATTTTTATTATCAAAATATTAATAAATATTATTTATTATATTAAATTAATAAATTATTTTTAAATTTTTGAATAGAAATAACATGAAAAAAATAAAAATTAAATCAAATGAAAATAATTATAACGGTAACTGTAAGGATAAAAAAAATATATATATATATCACGGTTAAAATTAAAATGCATGCTGCGGTGAGAAGGAAAATTTTTTGACAGAAATTTTTTACTTTGGTAAATAATCGGAGCCTATCATCTTTCACCATGGTTATTCAAACAGCAAATCAGTACGATTTAACATAAAATTTGAGAAATATCGTGCCTCAACAACGCTAAACACTCGTTTAAACGAGCACTCAGTTACAAGGAGATCCTCCAGCAGACAAACTGACGAGCTCACCGTGCCGATTACCGAAGCATTGATCAAAACTTGACCCAACCATACAGCACCGGTTCAACCGGAGCCAGGGAAGTTGATTGAAAATTGAATTTTGAAACTCCCTATTTTATTGTCTGCGTGGGGACATACGAGACAACGATTTTTCATGAGAAGTCAACTCCATTTTTTTACTTGCAATTAGAAACAAGGAAAATTCCCAAAATAATACTTAGTAAAAAGTTAAATTAAAAAAAATAAAAGCAACGAAATGAAGGGGGCGCATTTTAGCAAAACCGAGCATCGTCATGGCTGGACATGTTAGCAAAGGATGGAATCTCGAAATGCGAGAGTCTCCCGACGCTTGTCACCAAGTATTTTCTACACAAAAACTCCTCGGCGAATACCTTCTCCACTCTCCGATCAATATTGTGCAAGAATACGTGCGTCACACCCGATCCTTTCCTGTTCCTCGCCATAACCGCCGCCGAGAATATCGCTGCCATCCTACCTGGCTGCTCCGCGAAATATCCATGCGGCGCATCGATCAATATCAAATCCCACTCCGTATCGTAAAACTCATCGGGAAACCCCGTCAAGGCAAGCTTGCACTTCTCGTTGCCACGTAAGTACGCTTTCGAGGGAGAACAGCTCGGTTCGGACCGATAGTGGGAGAGCAGATCGTCAGCTTGCTGGAGCTGCGTGCGGTACTGTACGACGTGCGCGTGGAGGCTTGGTGCATCTTTGAGCACAGTCTGAAACCAATGGGGATCGTCTTCGAGGAATATGGTTTTCCCACGCGGATTGAGGGAAGTCCACATGAGGGAGTCGTAGCCAAGTCCGAAGACGAGGAAGTTGCAAGGAGAGCGTTTCTTGAGGACGTCAAAGGTTACGGAGATCTCCCCAATGTTCAGTTGCGGGACGATTGGTGACGTGGCGTAGTGGATGATGGCTTGAAGTTGGATCGGCGTGGCGGAGTATTCATCTACGGCCCGGGATCTAGAGTTGGCGACAGAGTATAGGATGGAATAATCAGCGGTTTTGATGAAACTCGATATAAGTAATGCTCCAGCAATAAGGCCAGCGATAGCGATAGGGAAAGTATGCTTAACAATCTCTTCTCTTCTCATTTTTCCACTAGTTGAAAGTATGCTTTTTTAATCAAACGAAAAAAAAAAATTTTCTTGGTTTAAGGTGTGGCTTTTGCTCTTGTTATATAAATATAAAAAAGGGGAGGAATCAAACAGGATACCATGGAGATATAGTCTAGCGCGGAGTGGACCAGCTTTGGAAATAAGGAGAGAATATTAATTTTTTTTAATTTTTGCCTGGTGGATGAAGTAAATTGATAATTTTAAATATGATAGTGATAAAAAAAATTTAATTTAATAAAATTAAAATATATTTTATATTTGTGTTCAGATACGAATTATCACGTAATATATTTTATATTTTATATATTTTTAATATAAAATGAATACAAAATAAATATATAAATTATTAAATTTATGTTAAAGTAAATATCTTCATATTTTTATATATTCAAAGAAAAACAGAGACAAAAGACAAAGATAAAAAACAGGAAAAAAATACGCTTTTGCAGGGGCTCCTTCGGAGTGGCAAGCATGTTGCTGCAGAATGTTTGTCTGATACTTTTTGTATAATATCTTACCATGTCCCACAACTTAGCCATTGATGATTGGGTGGTGGAGTCTTTTCGGGGTCTATACTTTTTTATATATTCAAAAGATAGTTTATATTTTTATTTCTAAAAATTTTTTCCAAACCAGTAGTACGTCAACGTTGATAAGAACATTTATGAATTGGTACCATCGACGTACTTAATTTTTTTTTTTATAAATGGTGGCTCACAGATACTTAATTACACTTCAAGAATTTTTATCTTTGAATGTTTGAAAAACAAGGACAAAAGACAAAGATCAAAAAACAAGAAAAAAAAACGCTTTTATGGGCCTCCTTGGGAGTGGCAAGCATGATGCTGCAGAATTTTGTCTGCTACTTTTGTATAATATCTTACCACGTCCCACAACTTAGCCATTGATGATTGGGTGGTGGAGTCTTTTCGGGGTCTATACTTTTTTATAAGAATAATATTTTAAATGGCCTCTATAATATATTTATTTATTAAATTTGATATTTAAATTTAAAAAATTATTTGAATTATAAAATTGTATATTAATTTAATTTAGAAGTTAATTATGTTAGTTTTGATAGTGATGTATGTGGTTATTTTAACTAATAAAAATGTGTCATGTGAACACAACAATGACATGCAAGTATGCTTACATGGCTTATGTGTTTAGAAAATATTTAACCTTAAATTCAAATAAAATAATCCTAAATCAATAAAAAAAATCTAAAACTCTAAATTATAAAAAAAAAACCCAATTCGATCCTTCAAAATCATTTTTCTATATGTACAAAAATATAAATTATTTTTCTGATAATCAAACAAGAAAATGACGGAAAAAACATTAAATTAAAAATTTTAAGGTAAAATTCGATTACACTATCTGATCGAAATATCAAGTTTCTTCGTTAGAACAAGACAATTTAAGGGCATCAACTGGCTTAAGGAGATTTGACTAGTAAAAAGAGATTTGTGGAATATTTAGATTTGATTTTGTGGAGTAAAGTGAAAATTAATTGGTGGTTACAAAAGTTTTTAAGGTATGCTAATTTTTTTATTCTCTAGTTTAGGGTTACATTAGTGTTGGAAATGGTGACTTTTTTATTGCAATGCCTCTTTATACAATAAGAGTTTATATGGCACAACAGTTCATTTTTGTGTACCATTTTATTTTGGCATAGCACTTTTTTTTTGTTAATCTTTGCATGCATGTTGGGCTGTGTGTTTGGATTTTACGATATGGTCCTAGTTTGTCTACATTATTGTATTCGTTATATTGTTAAAAGTTTTGTTTATGTAGCTAAAATAATAGCATTTATAATACTTAATTTACACATGCATTTGGGTGAAAATTTTGTAACAATCCGAGAGTAAGCTCTGTGGGTAGGCATATAGATGTATAAAGTATAGATCTTGATGTGATTTCATTCATTGTGTTTTGCAACATATTTAAAGAGGTTGCGTATGGTACTACTATTATATTTTATTACTTGCCACTGGGGTTTAATGTTGATGATGGATTAATATTATGCTATGATAATTCACCATTTGGTATGATGATAGATCGTATGAGAGCAATGGGAAAGATACATGTATATGTGAAACATGGGGTTAATGTACTTGAGTTTGTAAATGATGTACCATTATTGTCAAGTTAGGAGCATAATGAGGAAGTTAAGAAAGACAGTGAAGAGGATGCATATAATATGGAAAATGGAACTAATGGGGTCATTAATAGTGAAAGGGCTGCAAATATTAATAGGGTAGATGATAATAATACAGTGGATAGGCTGACAATGATAGTAATTTGGGATATACATTTGTACATATGATTGTGTTAGAGGTAAGTATATTTAAGAGTTTACATGAAAGTGCAAATGAGGGTTAAAATCCAGACAATGAGAAAAAACCCTTTGGAAAATATAAGTTAGGCTCAAATATTTGATGCAGAAAAATTACAAAATATTAGAACATCTTATACTAAATTTAGAAAAAAAAAAAATATTAAGGTAGTGAAAAGTAATGAGATCCCACCAGAAGTAGATTTTAAGGGTTTTTTTTAAAAGATCAAGGGAAAAAATAAAGAAGCAAAGTAGAAAGAGATAGGTGAGAATAATAGGGCTGGGACAAGTCAAGAGGATGATACACATTTTATAGACTCTTTAGACATAAAATGTTATAAGAATTAAAAAAATAGAGAGGTTGTATGTAAGAAGAGTAAAAAAAAATACTTTGACACTTTAGATCCAGTTCTTAAGCTTGAGATTGGCATGATTTTTTATGGTCTAAAGTAATTCAAAGATGCATTGAGCAAATATGCAATTGCAAAAAGGTTTGATTATAGATACCTTAGGAATGAAAAACATAGGGTTAGGGTTATTTGTAAACATAAAGACTGTTTATTCCTCATTTATACTATGATAGACAACTATGATGGGTTGTTCAAGGTGAAGTCACTGAGAAATGAGCATTAATGTACTATTACCTTAAAAAACTCAACGGTAGATTATAAGGTGTTAGTTGTTCATTTTCTTACCAAGCTTAGGATTATTCCTAACTTGAAATTGGTTGAGATGAAAAGGTTTATCAAAAAGAAGTTAAATGCTAATATCATAATAAAAGTTTGTATGAGTGCTAGTATAAAAGCTCAAAAAAATTATTGACAAATATCATTATGAGTTTTCAAGGCTGTTTGATTATATTACTACTGTGAGAAAGACAAATCCAAATAGACATGTAGATTTGGTGGTTGAAAGGTTTACACCAAAACATAAACCAAGGTTTTAGAAGTTGTATATTAGTGCACTTATGGAAGGGTTCTAAAAATACTGTAGGCTTTTGTTATGTGTAGATGGATGTTTTCTGAAGGGACCTTTAAAAGCTGAACTTTTGGTTGCTATTGGTAAAGATGCCAATAATCAAATGTATTATATTGTTTGGGCACTTGTGGAAGTGAAGAATAAGCATTTGTGGAAGTGAAGAATAAGCATACTTAGAGATGGTTTCTGAATAACTTGAAAGTTGATCTTCAAATGAAGGATAGTGCTAGATTTACTATCATGAGTGATATGCAAAAGATATGTATAATAATTATACAATTTTATCTTTTGAAGGTTTAGGGTTTGTTACTTTTGAATGTTTCATAAATGTTTTTCATTTATTATTGTAGGGTTTATGTGATGTCATAAGTTCCATTATTCTTAAAGTTGAACACAAATTCTCTGCAAGACACTAGTTTACGAATTTGAAGAAAACCCATAAAGGTAATGACCTTCACAAGTAATTATGAATGTGCAGTAAAGCTACAACAGAGGTCAACTTAAAAGCAAAAGTAAAAAAACTTGGAGAATTAAAAGGTACAATATTAACTGATATATTAAAAAGAAGTCATAAACATTGATCAAAGGCATTTTTTAGTACTAGATTTTTGTCTTATATTATGGATAATAATTTAGTTGAGGTATTTAATTCTAAGATTATTCATGCTAGGCATATGTCTATCATTTCAATATTTGAGGAAATTAGCATTATGTGATGCAAAGAATTGTTGACAATATGACTAGATGTGCTAAGTGAATTAAATTGATTTGTTCTATAATTTGTGAGAAAATAAAAAAGCATAAGAAACTTAGTGCTTTTTGTCATGTTGTATAGAATGGTAACGATGAATATGAGGTTGAATGTCGTACAGATAGTTTTATGGTAAACATGAGTGGGAGGAAATACACATGTAGGTCATGGGATTTAATTGGGATATCATGTCCTCTTACCATATGTATCATAATTTTTAAGAATGAAAAAATTGAAAAATATATTGCACATATATATAAGAAAGAAATGTATGATAAATGTTATAATTCTATGTTACCACTTATTCCTAAAGACAAGTTCTGACCTACTACACAAATGAGAGATATAGACCCATCACTTCTTAGAAAGATGCTTGGTAAACCAAAAAAGAACAGAAACATAGAGAATGGTGAAAGCTTAAATGGGACAAAGTTATCAAACAAATGAAGAAAGCTAAGAAAGCTAAAGTGTCGAATCCGTTTCAAGTTTGGTAATAATTCAATGAAGTGTCCCAAAAAAAATGTAAGTTAGAATTTGAAGTTTAATTTACAAATTTATCAAAACCTAATGTTATTTTTTTATGCATTACAAGGTAGTAACGTAAGACAAGTTGAAAACATGAATATACCTATACCACATGAATCTGCAATATTAAAACACCATGCCAAAGTAAAAACCACACCGCCTAGAATACCCAGAGCAGCCACTTTACCCATAACATCTGTAACAACAGACACAACTCTCAAAGTGATCAGAGCTATAGCAGCAGTCACACCACCCACAATAACCATAGCAACAACTACACCACCCACAGTGATTAAAGAAACAACCACATCACCTAGAGTGACCACAATAGCAGCCCAGCCATCCACAATGACTAACACAATAACAACCAAACCACTTATAATGACCACAACAACAACAACTAAGCCACCCATAATAACCAAAGCAGTAGCCACGCCACTTACAC